TCCGGCCACGGCAGCCGGAGACTTGCAAGGAATCCGGCAAAGAGTTCAAACTCAGCGTCGTCTCCAGATTCTGCCCCAGATGCAAAAGGGAGGCCTAGCCGGACTCCCTTCCCGGGAGTGCTAGAAAAAAGGGCGATGCTGAGCAAGGTGGAGGGAAGCAGCGGAAGGGGGAGAGGCTGGGTAAGGCGGAGGAGGTCGAGGAGATGGTTTGGGTGTCCTTGCCGGAGGAGAGGGCAAGGGGGCGACTCTGTGCCTGCCCAGGCGCCAGGAGTTAAGCCCGGCCTGGGGGCATCGTTCCCCTTTCCAAGCCGTGAGCTGTTGCGGCCCAAAAGGCTTCTTTGGGTGGTTAACCTGCGGAACTCATTGCCACAGGATATGGTAATGATCTGGGTGATGAACCACAGCAGTGTTTTTAACCTTGGCTACTTTAAGATGGGTGGACTTCAGCTCCCAGAATTCCCCAGCCAGCCTGCCGGCTGAGCCAGCAAGCTTGCAGCAGAGTGCAATACAAGCGTGCAAGGATTATGCAGTTTATGCGTCCAGTGTAAAGACTGGATGCATGTCAGGCTGGCAAGAAAAAGAGCTGCTTTTACTGAAGCTGCAGGGATTGGACCCCAAACACGGGGAAAACAAGCTCAGAATTTGCAGCCCTAATTTCTGGCCTGGGGAGGGTCGGCGGCGGTGGTGGCTGGAAGCGATCGACCGCTCCAGCATCGTTCTTGGGTGCCTGGATCTGGGATGGATTGCAACGGCCTGGCGGCGGGATGGAACGTTGTGCAGGCAAGGAGGCTTCCAGGGCCGCCGCGAGCGCGTCGCACTGCGCCTGCGCAGCGCTGCACTTTTGAATGCATTTTACCTGCTCGCTGGGTGGGTCTCGTTTTCGTTGCACCGGCGCGTGGGCTTTCCTCTGCCCGCCGCTGCATCGCTAACCTGCACCGCGTTTTCACCCCGGGCTCCTTTTCCGCCAGCACACGTGCACCGTTTTTGCAAAATGCAGCAGGGGTCCCAGGACGGAGCAGGCACGGGGGCTCAGATGCCAAGGAGCCAGTTTTTAAACTGCTCGTCCTAAACTGCCACCGCTTGCACTTTTGACTTCCTCTCTGACTCTGCGCTTCTGCTGCGCTTGGTGATCCAGCTGAAGGCTCGGGGTAATGGAAAAACCGTTTTCAGCTTTTGGCGTGCAAAAAAGCAAAGCTTGGAAAATGTGACGCGCGCTGAGACCCGGGCGGTGCAAGCGCGTCCTGCGCGGCTGAGAGTGCAAAGCGTTTCGGGCCTGAACGGGATTGCATGCGTCGGGCAGTCGTTTTATTGCATTTATGACAGGCCCCGGAAGAACTCTTCTGTGTCTGTTAGCAACTTAAATTGGGTGTTAGGGAAGACAAAGCGCACGGAGAGAGAGAGAGAAGAATTGGCTGTCATCGAAATGTGGGGGTGAAGGGAAAAGACAGAAAGAGGCAAATAGACAAATATATACATATGAATAAATAAATAGAAGAATGTGTATGAATGGCATGTGTCTAGAGTCCGCCAAGAGTCTTTGAGAGTCGGGAGGCATGCAAGTTTAAATTATTATTGTTGGTCGCACAGTCAGCCAGATGTTTAGACTGGATTTGGCATTTTTATCCACCTGTCAAGTCCATTATTATTATTATTATTATTATTATTATTATTATTATTATTA